TTTTCTTTCATATATTTGTATAACTAAATTTTTATGTGTACTTCTGTTACGGTTTAGATGGAGAAAGTCTCCCAGAGGCCTCTGTGGTCATAGGTGGGGCTTTGGGAAGGTGAATGAATCCTGACTATAGCTGACTTGCTATTAGGAAATAAGGTCTGGTAGGAAGAGGTGGTACTAGGGGTGTGACCTGAAAGCACATAGCTCCCTCCCAGCTGCTTCCTGGCCACCATGATGTGAATAGCTTTCCTCTGCCCAGGTCATGCTGCCATGCTGTTTTCTGTGTGTCAGTCATTGGACCACAAACTGTAAACCTGAGCCAAAATGCACCTCTCCCCCTTTAAGTTGTGGGTGTTGAGTATTTAGTCCCAGTGACTAAGACAACTTCCAAAATCTTAACTCTGTCCCAATTTTTCCTTTTATGATGAATATCTCATTGTTCGCATCACTAAAACATTATATAAGTGTAATGTGAATTTTGTATATGTATGAAAATATTTCAGTTAATTTAGTCATTGTACATTATAAAGATATAATTTTATTAACTACTTATAAATTTAATATATAGTATATAGTATAATAGAAGCAAAAGATATCTGGTAGATGATGTGCTGTCTTGTTGGTTTTGATTGATTTTCTGGTTTTCTTTTATTTATTTATTTGTTATTGTTATTTGGCTTTTAGTTTTAGTTTTGTTGTTATTTGATTTAGTTACTATTATTGTGTTCAGTGCAGGGCTGGGGATGTAGCTCTGTGCAGTGCAATATTTTTCTTGGCTATTATCCCTCACTATCTTTTATAGGAATTTTTGAATCACCTTGTCAAGTTCCCAGTTGGGGTACTGATTAGCGTAGCATTCAATTTGTGGATTATTTTGGATAAAATTGTCATTTTTACAACTTTGAGTGCTTCTATCCAGGAACATATGGGTTTCTGCTTCTGAACTTCTTTTATGCTCTTTAATATTTGTCTACCTTATTGATGCTTTCCCCTCTCAGATATTTTTATTGTGTATATTGTCATATTTTTTCCATTTTATTAATCTCTGCTTTCATCTGTATTGTCAACTCATTTTTTATTTATTTCATTCTTATTTTTCTAGCTTCTAGCAATGAAAGTTTAGTTTATTCTTTTTCTATGCTTTTTTAGTATATAAATTTTCTCCTGATAACTATTTTGGCCATAACCCATAGGTTTGACATGTACTCTGGGTATCATTCCTTGCTGAAGAAATTTTGCTTTTCATCTTGATTTCTCTTCCATTCTTTTTTCTTCTTTTCTCTTCTGCCTCTCCTCTCCTCTTCCCTCCCTTTCTCTTTTTTTCTCCTCTCTTCCTCTCTCCTCTTTTTCCCCTCCTTCCTCTTTTTATCTTCTTTGTTCTTTTGTGGTACTGGAGCATGAAACCAGGCCTTCAAACTGAGCTACACCCCCAGCCCTTTTTATTTATTTATTTATTTTGAGGCAGAATCTCACTACTGAGACAGTAAGTTGCCCAGGTTGGGCTTGAACTTTTGATCCTCCTGCCTCAGCATACCAGAGTGCTTGGAATACAGGTGTGCACCACTACACTTCAGTCATATTGGTTCTTTTCCTCCAGTGAATTATCTATAGCATTGGCTTTGAATATACAAATATATTTTGGCTAGTTTTAAAAAATTTTCTAATTTCTGGTTGCCTTTAGTTGTATGTTGTGCCTATATCATTTCTGCTTTCTTTGAGATCTGAGGCTTTTTGTTGCCTAACGTTTGAAAATAATTTCCAATCTTTGTTATTTTCTGTACATTTGTTATACCAAATTTACTAATCCTGTTCTATGAATATTTTAGATCCTTCTTTACTTTTGGTCTTCTGATTTAGCTGTTCCAAAGGAGGAAGCTAAAGTCTTCCACTGTGGTTGTGATATTATAAATGTCTTCATACATTTGATTATTTTTGCGTTACACTTTTTCTAGGACTTGTTATATGCATAGAGGTTTGTGATCGCTATTTCTTCAGTCTTAGAACAAGTAAACTGAATCTTTTTTCTGTAAAGTATTTGTCTTTGGTTACTTTTATTTTTTCAGTTTATATTCTGTTTTTTTCAGATGCTATTGGTACTTTACTTAATTTCTTTTTATTAGTATTTGCCTGGGGCTTCTTGCAATTGTTTTATTTTCAACTGTTTGTTTAGGTGTGTCTCTTACATCAGAATATACCTAAAATAAGTTATTTACAGGTGATATTACACATCTTATAATGAATCTCTTGAAACCATTTCACATATATTATGCTGGTGACACAATGGGACTTTCAATCTTAATTTGTATGTTTTATTTATTGTGTTAATGGTTGAAAAAATTCTCCTTCATCTTGTATCCCTAGAGCCAACCAGAGGCCTAGGTTCAAGGTTCTAGGTGTTGATAAAATGCTCATTGAATAAAAGCTTCCTTGATCCCCTACTTCTGGTGTAATCTAGGAAAAACTTAGGGCAAGATCACTCTGTTGTAATTAGGGTTGGAACTAGGGTTCAAAGTATTGGTAAAATAGGTTTCAAGAAGGATTTGAGTGCATTATTATACCTAAGATACTCTGCCTATTTGTGTAAATTTAATATATAAAGATTTTACCTTTTCTTTCTCTATGAGATCCAGTATTAGTTCATGCTGATCATGATAGTGCAGGTAGAGATGAAGACAAAGATCTTAGAACTGGAGAAAGAAATTCTGGATCTCATCTCTATCAGCCTAGCCCTTCATTAGAGAATACAGAAAAGGAATCTCTTAGCCAAAGTGAATCACACTGTTTTTGTACAAATTTGTGTCCCAGATTTCTTTGTTTTCAGCTGTATCTACCAGAGTGTTGGATAATTTTAAAAATAATATTATGGCAACATTAGCATTATTGTTTTTATTATTTTTTAACATTAGCTTTATTGTAAAGTGCTCTTCCAGCAAAGCCATGCTAATGAGAAAAGATAAGTAGTTAATGAAAGTTATATTAAAATGAATTCAAGATGGCTTACAACACATCAGACATAATTTTCTTGCCTCAATTGACAAAAAGCATTGAAAAAAGAGAAGAAATGTATGTTTGTTATAATGGAGAGAGTACTGGAACTGGGTCAAGGGCCTTAGCAACTTGGCCACGGTACTAACAACTCTGGAAATTTCTTTTAGTACAAAAGCCTGGATTAATGGATCTCTCAGATTTCTTCTGACTCTAAAATAATTCCAGCCTGAGTCAGAAAAATCGTATGTGAAATTCTAGTAACAGTTAACCTAATCTGCACCATGCAAATTCATCCCTGAGCTACTCACAATTCATAACAGGTTTATCTTTTTCAGTTATTAATTCCAGTTTAGGTATCCTGTATCCAAAATACTTGACATCAAAGCATTTCAGATTTAGGAGTTCTTTTGAGAGTTTGGAAATCTGTTTATGCAGACATATTTCTTCTAGATGTGGCCTAAGTGTAGGCACAAAATTCATTTGTTTCATATACACCTTATACACATAGCCAGGAGACAATTTTTATAGAATATGCTTAATATTTTTGTGAGTAAAACATGTTGTGTGTGCCATGTTGAATCAAGCCTTGGATTTAGAATCATTTTGCATTTCAGATTTTGATTTAGGGATGCTCAACTACATAAACTATTCGGATTCCATAGTTTTGACTACTGTGTTAAAGCATTGATGTGTACATTGTTAAGCCATTGCCCATTAGCCAGGTAATGAGCTGAGAATACAAACCCCTCTGCTCCAGTTGCTGTCCTTGTTAAAGGCAGGGGCTGCCCCAGGGCCCACGGAGGGCAAGGCCTGCCTAGGTGGACACCGTGGGCTCCCACCTGTTGTGCTGTTCTCCAGCATTTCCTCATCTCCCTTCCCTCCTGAAAGGACTTCAGTTTGCACGAAACCTTGAACTAGAGAAAGCACAGGGGTTGCCCTCTTCCTTGCCTGAATTTCATTTGGAAGCTTTCAGGTTTGATCAAAGGCTGGAGGTTCAGCAGAGATGAAGACATGTAAGCCTACTCCTGTCTGGTGATTTGACTGAGCACAAACTGCTCTGTGCTGAGGCTAAAGGTCATCACCAAGATTAACTAAGAAAAAGATGTAGCTCAGCTGGGCTAATGAAGTTCCTCTTTATATAAAGCCTACGCTTCATCTTCAGGATTGTTTTCCAACTTTGTACAAGACTAATTTTGGCCCCAACACCCATCCCCATGATCTCTTTGGAGGGTGCTAATATTTTGAATGGTGGTATTAAACTATTGTTTTCGGACTATAGCATAGGGGTTCCACAAGCCCTTTGAAGATCTTTCAGGGTGAATAAGAATAGGGAAGCATGGGTAGGATTCAGGTCCTCTTGACACATATACATACCAATGCTCCTTGGCTTACAACATGGTTATGTCTCAATAAGCCCATCATAAGCTGAAACAATTATAAATCAAAAATGCTTTTAATACACCTAACCTACTGCACATCCCACATAGCCACACAGTGCACTGGAGTGTTGGTTGTTTCTGCCCATGACTGTGACTGAGACCTGTGGTTCTTGCCACTGCCTAGCCTTGTGGGAGAGAGCCATCCTGAATATCATTAGCCCAGGAAAAGACCCAAATTCAGAATTTGAAGTGTGGTTTTGATTGACTGTGTATCACTTTTATACCATTATAAAGTTGAAAACTTTTATGTCAAGGCATCAAAAGTCAGAGATCAACTGTATACTTAAGTAATATATTTGGCAAAAACTTTGGAAGGAAACCAATGTATTCTTAAGTGAGGTTAACTCTAGTGGCAGGACTATATTTCTTTATAGCTCTTTGTCAAAATGTCCTCAGTTAAGCAGGAAAGAAACTGTGAAATGAAGAGTATCATTTTAAGGCATGGAGCAGATTTCTGAGTTCTTCTAAGGAGAGCACTGCTTCTTCCCATGAGGACAGTATCTAAGCAGTCCAAGCTCCTTTGGCTCCACACACATCATGGTAGGTCACTTTCTAACCAAATGTCTTTTCCTCCAGAGTGGCTGCAGTCTGTCCAGGCCACCATGATCCTGTCCGTCATTTTCAGCGTCCTCTCTCTGTTCCTGTTCTTCTGCCAGCTCTTCACCCTCACCAAGGGTGGCCGGTTTTACATCACTGGAATTTTCCAAATCCTTGCTGGTAAGTTGTGGATGATGAGGTCCATGTAGAAGTTGGGTCTGTCCAATCAAGGATGTGGCCCCAGAATGACAGATGTCTGTGAGTATGATTGTTAGATTCTTTTCATAAAGTACAGGTATGTGTGTGTGTGTGTGTGTGTGCATGTCATGTGGAAGCATACGTACATATATCTTTGAACTTGGGAGCTCTCTCCTTCTCTACTGAATGAGGTGCATATGAAAGAGGACTTAGAAGCTGTGATAGGAATATCCCCAACCAGGCCAGACCTGTTACCAGCAATGAAGCTACACATTATTAGAGGTGAATACTGAGGATATCAGTCTGGCCAAGGCCAGTCTTGAGGGCTTTGTTCTGTGCTTACACAATGTCCTAAGAAACCATCACCACTTAGAGAATGACCCTGATGTTCTGAGTGCCGTTGTTCTCAGGTGCAAAGTTTGTTCTCAGGTATGGCTTCAACCTGTAAGTAGTGATAAAGTCACACTGATAAATTCTTACTCTCTTTTCTCCAGTACCTAGTTTCCACTGGACTTGCACTTACTGTTGTCATCCTCTGGTGTCTTCGTTTTGATATGCCTATGCAACATGGCACAACTTCTAAATATGGGAGTGTGGCAACACATGAATACAGAGGAGAAGTCTCCTTCATTTCTTCCCTGCACTGGGTCCGAGAGATTGCTCTTAGTCACAGTGTGCAGAATCCTAGAAACATCTGTCACAGAGAGTGATATCTTCCAACTTTATCTCTAGACTCTGGTCAGTGTCTTGCTTCACTGACTCATCTTTCCATCTGGTGGCTTTCTGCTAATTGGCTGAATCTTCAGGGCATTGGAGAGAAGTACAGACAGCTAAAGCTGTGGTCTCTATAGTCCAGGTTCATAGGTCATAAACTCCACTTGTACCAGTTTATGCCTGGGTACTGTGAGGTGTTCTCAGTTCTGGACCTCTGCATAGCAAAGGAGAGAGCATCTCATGTTTTATAGGCTGTGAGAACACCCATAGTGTGTCTCGCATCACCACGCTATGCTCAGAAGCATTCATTGGAGGTTTGGAAAAAGCCCATGTATCCTTGGGGGCTGGATGGGCAAATGTGATGCCTCTACATGGTTGTCCAGAAAGACACACTTGAGGTGAATGTTGATGACCTTTTCTGAAAGCCAGAGTTCCCCTTTCCTGGAATAAGGAAGTAAACTGAAGAGCCCCTTCTCCCAAACATGTAAGTACAACATTTCATTATTCAGGGTCTTAGGACTTTCAGGCTAAGAAAGGCTTTGCCACTTCCACTGGTTTTAGTATCCTAAACAAAGCTCCTAGATTGTTGTCAGCTTTATTAAATGACTAATTATGCATTAAAATACTATGTATAGGTAAAATAAAAGCAGAGTTACCATTTATTTCATTTCAAGACATAACATAGAAACTGCTTGATATATTCTTTTTTTTTTTTTTTTTTGCAGTGCTGGGGATTGAACCCAGAGCCTTTACAACAAACTACAACCCCAGCACACACCCACACACACACACACACCACTTTTTTTTTTTTTTAATTTTGAGACAGAGTCTTCGTAAGTTGCTAAATTGTCCAGGTTGGGCTCCAACTTGTGATCCGCCTGCCTAATCCTTTCAGAGTTCTGGGATTTCAGGTGCACACCCCAGTACCCAAATCTAGGGTTTCTTTTTTTACTCTTGATTATAGTTTGATATCAAGTCAGATGATGATCATATACATTGCATCTATGGATGTATCTTCAAGATAAATCAAAATAGGGTTAGGAACCAGAAGTTTTATAAAATATTTATTTTAATGTGTATGAGTTTATTACTTTACTGATGACTAAAATGAACCCAAGAGAAGGTAAATGAAGGTCACCCTCATGGCAGACCTTCATGGCGGGGGCTTTGAATGCCTATATTCTCTCTTGTCATATGTGGACTGAACATGATTAAGTGAGTCTCTTTATATTAAAAGACACCGAATCCATCCAAAAATTTAAGGAATACAAAATTCAAGGCATAAACTGCTTTCTCCAAAGTTCTCACATGTCTGGGATGAACAAGAGCTCGCACCATCAGAACTAGTCAAGCTAAGAATATTGGACCGAGAAGAACTAACTCACTGTGGAAAGGCTTTTTTCTTTCCGCTGGGATAGTTCTGCTTTAAATTCTATTCACAGTATCTTCTTAGCAACCATCATTGTATATCAAAACTCAGAAGTTCAGAGATAGGAACCATTAGGCCACACATGTAACTGTGCTATATGCTGAAGTACTGTATTTCAATTCAGCCAAGAGTCTTGCATCTAGAAATGTTCTACTTTCCCCAGTGTATTTATTAATCCATACTTGCTTCATCACTTTGATTTTCCTTTGAACTCAGTGCAAGCATTTTAGAATTCTGCTTTAAATTTTAAAACACATGATTTGCTTTTCCTTATCCCCTTTGAATCTAGCTGCTTATCTGTCATGAAACCTCATTTTCAGTTAACAGTTTTTCAGTTGAATGGTCCATCTTTAAATAGGAAGTTATCTGGATTAAGAAATGTTGAACTAAAATAGCAGTTGTAATTTCCATGTCCTAAGGATTTTCTGTGCCTACTGATATGCTCCAGTCAACTGATCTGAAGGTTAGTCTCCTAGGAAGCAAGGATATCCCAAATGTTCATTTGAAATTGTTGTAGGGTCTTCCCACTAAAGCTGAGAACTAAGAGTTAAGAACTCTACTTGGAGACTGGAGACTTCCTGACTCCTTTAGCCTGTAGCAATTCTGAATCAGCCTTGTCTCATTTCTCCTCAATTTATGGCCTATTGAGAAGGTAGTAACAAAAACAGGGGTGGTTGGGGGAGATAGGGAAGGGAAGAAAAGAGGGAGGGATAAACGGGGCAGTAGAGGAGGAAGGGGAAAGCTTGTGTTGTGGGGTGCAAAGTCTGAATGAACCTTCAATGGGAGCTAAGTTCCATGTGTGGCAAATCCTCCTCAAAGCAATGAAGCATCTTAAGTGGAAACTTCCAGAATCCCTGCTGGGTTTCCGAAGAGGTTGATATAGGCTGTGCTGTCTGCACAGCTTCCCTTTGTAAGGCCAGCTGTGGTCTGCATGTATCAGTCACACACAACAGCTTGCAGGAAAGGCAGTTAAGAGGTGAGTGGGGCTCTTGGGCTAGTGTAGGAGTTGTCTGCCTTCCTTGGAATTACAGGTCTTTGTATGGTTAGAGCTCTCCCTGGTTTGCCTCGTCATTGCTTCTCTAGATCATAGTAAGCCACAGGTCTCGCATTTACTATCTTGATGCTTATACACATCTTAGGCTGGCTGCTTCCAGAGTCATGTCAAAGGTGCCTCCTTCTAGTTCAGTGCTTTTCAACCTTAGCTCTACATCCAAATCAGCTGGGGCACTGTTTAAAAACAAATGCCAGCACTCAGGCCTCATCCCTGGAGAGTTTCATTTCATAGCTCTGGGCAGGACTGCTTCCTGGGTGACTCCGATGTGCATCCAGGCTTGGGATCTACTGATGTAGCCATTAGATTGCCCCCAGTCTCACTGTGAGGCCTTCTAACACATTTCCCCACAGGCAGCTAATTCTATTCATAAGCCATAGATTCTTCCAAACCTCTTTATCAGAGGAGGAACATCCTGATTCTATTCTTGAATGTTGGAGTCACAGTCATTTTTAAGAACTGTAGCCATCTGTTCTGGGACAGTAGTTACCCTTGTCTTTACTCTGTTGGGTTGGGTTATACTACATGGGAAAACTTCAAGAAATTCACATAGATACAAACCTAGAAAGAAGGATTTGCATGTTCTGATTTGACTACTTATACCAAGAAAATAGCACCATGCAGGGCATATAAGATTCTCTGATTTGCTATTTGTTGGATGGTTAGATAATTATGTTGCCATGGTGAAATCCAGCTCAGGTCAAGTGAACAGTCACTATGATTAAGAAGAACAAAAAGATAGTAGGAAGAGACTCCTGAGTGAGTATAACCTTTCCCATTTGTTTTGTTTTTTGATTTTAGGTAGATTGGTATAGACATAGGACGTTTAGAGCAAAAGAATTTGGGTGGAGATTAATGAAAGCACCGTGAGTCTTCCCATTCCAAGTGATTCAGAGATGGCATGAGTCAGACACCAAGTTTAGAAACCCTGTCCAGGATGGAGTTCCCCTGGCTGTGCCCATATGGGAGTCTAGTAGTGCTGTAGCTTGGCATCTAGGGAGAGGTGGTCAGCTGGATGCTGGAAATAGAAGTAGGGCCAGAGCGCAGGGAAGGCTCCATGTAGGTGAGATATAGCTCTGCAATCCCGCACTGTCAAGGTAACAGGTATTCCAGCTTCTCCCTGCCCCACCTTGTGGCCTGGACTGGAGAATGAGGCAGAAGTGAGGCAGGACTGTGCCTCTCATCCACCAACCATTCTGATGGTCTTGCCAGATCCTCCCTTTCTAGCAAACGTCAATCTGGCTTCCACCCTTGCCTCTCAAATGGAAATATTCCTGCAAGGTCCTCAAGGGACACTGCAGTCTTGAATTGGCTGAATCATGGCTCTCCTTTCAACACTGTTGTCTGTTCCTTCCTTGAAACTGTGTGCCCTAGACATCCTGTGTTTCCTGCTGCCTGTGCTCACCGGATGGGAGGTCCTTCCCAACCCAGGCTCACTCAGTGCTCCTCTTTTCCTTGCCCCAGGTCCAGTTCACCATTGACTATTGTGACTGTGTGACATGCTCCATAGTTGCTTTTCCCCTTTCTCTTCTCTTTATTGACACTAGTGAAGCTGTACAAAGCCTCCTCAGGCCCCTCCTGGCCTCCTGCCTTGTACCTAGCACTAAATCCATTTCCTGCCTGCTGCTGTGATCTTTCTGAAGCATGCATGTGATCATATTTCTCCCATGCTGAAGGGCCCCCCTGAGGCTTCCTGTCACACCCTCCTTAATGTGCCATCGAGACATTCTCCTTCATGGGCCTTAGTGAGCTCTGCAGCCTCCCTATCATGTGAGACTTATTATCTGTGGGTAGTTTCCACCATGTGTTCTCGGGCTTCTTAGCCTCACTCTTGTTTTTTCTTTTACTGGGATGCCTTCCTGCCTTTCTTCACCTGGCCACCTTTTATCACCCTTTAGGCCCAGCTCAAATATTATCTCCCTCAGGCTTCTCTGCCCTCTCCTCTCCCAGTGTGAACTCAGTGCCCATATGAGTTCTCAAGGCATCTGGGGCATTTCTCTCTAAATTATATCACACTGTATCAAAACTAGCTATGGTTATGTCTTCTAGACAGGCACCCCTTGAAGGTAGGGGCATTGTTTCACCTATCATGGTGTTTTCAGCTTTTAGAAAAGTACCTGCATACAGCAGGCACTCATTAGATGTTTAGTAAACCCAAAGGAATGGAAATGTTGCAGAAGTATGGAAAGTTCCTGAGTTGCTTCCTCTGTCTTTGGACCTCGGTGGCCCTTTCCAAAAGTTCTGGCCTCCAGTCACTTACTTGAGGTTGCTGTCACTGTTAAAGAGCCGTGAGATTTTTCTCTTCCAAAGGGCTTTAGGGAGAAAGTTCAGGGGGTTGTTAGAGCCAGCCATCCTGAGACAAGTAGAAACTCTTGGGACCTGAATCCCCAGCACTTTAATGTCTGCGTGGGGTCATTGTCCTTCCACTTAAAGCTGACTTGCACTTCTAGGGCACCCCCACAGGGTACCCCTACAGGGTCTCAGTCACTGCCAAAGCATGGGTTGCTAATTTGTGGGGCCTCACTGACTCATAGGGACCTTGATGACACATCTCCACCTACTGGTTGGCAAGAAAGTTCATCAAATTCACTTATTAGGAAGAATGTTTGGCTTTGGGAATTACTGTTACATGACATTAATGCTTTGGGATACAGACTGAGGCTACTCAGTCCAAGAGTCATTTCTTTCTGTATCTCAGAGCACATCTGCTGTTTAACATGTAGGTAGCCTAGTAATAATGATATATTTGGTAAAACATCAGTTTCCTAACAACGATAAAGTATGTATCTTCACTTTGGCTTTGTAAATATCTAAGCTTATTGCTTTTAAAGTTAGGCCTAGCTTCATTCATTTCTGAGGTTCTATTAGGGTCTACCAGTCCTCTGTACTTGTGTACCCTGTTAGTTACTGTACTTGTGTACCCTGCCTCTTTCTGTCCCTCTTGGTCAAGGATGGAAACTGATGTTTTCTTTCTGCCAGTGAAATCAGAGCTTAGCTAACCCACATGGCCACAAAGGCAAATTTTCATGCCAGCAGCTAGTTAGACACCCTGTGCAGAAGCCCCGCTCACACAACAAGCATTGTGCTAGCCTCTTTGCCCTCTGTTAATACCTCTTTCTCTTCTACGGGCATGTTTCCCTCCTTAGAACCCAACCCTTATTAGATAAGTCACATGTAGCTCAAGACAACTTCAACATTGCTTAAAAGACAAAAACAAGCACTTTGGAGAGGTGTACCAGGAAGCAGTAGAGCAAGACATTAAGGATTCTGGACCTTAAGGCAAATTAAATGTGTCCCAACAGATCAGAACTGTTATTGTTCTTGAGCAGCAATCCTCAGCTATGGTTTCCCTCTGACATAGACATCTTCTCTGTCTCCTGAATTTTCTTTAGGTAGCAACAGGGTCTAGATTCCACTGTATTTCCAGGATTATTGTGTGGCTTTCTTGATGGGGCCAATTGAGACAGTGTTTTTCTCCTCTGAGTTACAGAAGGACAATCTCACCAGGGTGGTTAATGTGACATAGTGCCACTTCTGTACTTTGTTCAAACAAAGTTGCAGTGTCCCCTAAGATAGCAGCTCAAATAGCAGTGAGGTTAGATGTAGGTTGTTCAGGGCATTGGAAGCTTTGGAACCACGTGAATCCCACACAGCATGCTGGGTTTATAATAGAGTCACTCAGGGCTTCTCAAAGACCCTGTTTTCAGGAGGGAACAGACCAGCCTTTGTACAGCTCCAGGCTGGGCTGCTGACATCATGGGACCCCTCCCTATGTAGGGATACTGATTGTCACATGGGGATAGGCTGTAAGGCTTGAGTTGAATTGCTGCCCAGGGTCCTAGATGGAGGCCTTCCTCTTCCCATGCCAAGGGCTGCCTTGCTAGGCCAGGGAGGACAGCCTGACCTATGTAGGTATTAGATGTCCTTTTACCTGTCTCTGGCTTCAAATCCAGTCCTACGGCACCAAGTAGGATGGAGCTATAGTCTCCTGTATAGCTTTGGCTCCCACCTGTATTGTCTTCTTCCTCCTCATTTCCTCGTCATCCTTTTTAATCCTCTGTGCCATCCTTTGTCTGCCCAGCAATGCCCATAGTTATTGTCTGCTTTCAGGGGCACCCCTGCTAAAGGAACCTTAGGCGTCTGGCCTGCAGGAGCCCAAGGCCTTTGCTGTGCCATAATTCCAATAGTGTACAATGTCACTTCACTTCCACTAGCTTCAGGTCATGCATCTGCCCCTCTGTGTAGGGTGGTTCACAGGCTCCCAGGAGCTTCCACACCCAGTCCTATTGAGAAAGAGATAGACAGGGTTATCTTGCACCTTACATATTACTCGACACCTTGTGTGGCTACTGTTTGGAATTGTTGACAGTGAAAAATAAGAGAAATGGGGCAGAAAATGTGTCGAGGACCCTGAGGTCACCTACACCTTGAGGGGTGTAAATAGGAAGTGAAGAGCAATTCATTTTCCTTGTTCCCATACCTGCCTCCTCCCAGATCTGATCCTGTGAGCAGATTGCTTCCACATTTAAACATATTCCTCCTGCACAGCACTGTCAACGTCAGAGGTGGCAGAATGGTGGACTCTTCCCTCATCAACGCATCCCTCTCATCCCCAGGTCTATGTGTGATGAGCGCGGCAGCCATCTACACAGTGCGGCATCCTGAGTGGCATTCCAACTCCGACTACTCCTATGGCTTCGCCTACATCCTGGCCTGGGTGGCCTTCCCTCTGGCCCTTCTCAGTGGTGTCATCTACGTGATCTTGCGGAAACGTGAATGAGGCGCCCCGACGGTCTGTCTGAGGCTCTGAGCGTACATAGGGAAGGGAGGAAGGAAACAAGAAAACAGGAAAAACAAAAACAAACCAACAAAAAGAGCTAGCCAAAAACCCAAACTCCAGCCAAACCAAACAGAAAGCAGTTGAGGGGGGGATTGCTATTGATTGAAGATGTATATAATATCTATGGTTTATAAAACCTATTTATAACACTTTTTACATATATGTACATAGTATTGTTTGCTTTTTATGTTGACCATCAGCCTCGTGTTGAACTTTAAAGGAGTAGCTAAGGAACTTTACATCCTAACAGTATAATCAAGCTCAATATTTTTGTTTTGTTTTTTGATCTTTGGTTTTGCCCCCAAATAAAATAACTTGATATGGTCTCCTCCCCTTTGTTTAAAACAAGATACCTCCCTCCCATTCCACCTCATAAAAAACCAAAGTGTGGGGATAAACCCCAAGTGGCTAAAAGCCCTTGTATTGTGGGTGACCCAGTGTATCCATCAGAAACATCCACTGCCTAAACCTCTGTGGGAAGCCTTAGGCAAGCACAGATAAAACACCCAGACTGGAGCCCTCGGCAAAAACACACTTGTGGCTTTGGAATACTTGCCCTTGCAGGTGGAGTATCTTGGTCACGTGTCTAAATGAAAAATCGGTGACAGCAAATCTGTGAAATGGTGCTATGGATTTACCATTCCTTATATTATCACTAATCATCTAAATGACTCACTGGAAGTTCAATTAACAATTTTACAACATAAGTAGAATGGAGACCTAGTAATTTTGTGTAATATAAATGGTTTATAACTGCTTTTGTACCTAGCTAGGCTGCTGTTATTACTATAATGAATAAATCTTAAAGTCTTCATCGCTTCCACATTTTTCTTATGGTCAGAGCATTAGGACAAGTGGCTAGGCCCTTGGGACTGTGATTTTCCAGGGCTTAGATGGGTCTAGAATGCTCTGTGCCTCCAAGAACTGTCTGGCAATGACTTGTACTGGCCACCAACTGTAGATGTATATATGGTGCCCTTTTGATGCAAAGACTCCAGACCTTCATTTTGTGCTTTGCTTTTTCTGATTTTATACCAACTGTGTGGACTAAGATGCATTAAAATAAACATCAGAGTAACTCACTCATCTCTCTTTGATTTTTGTGGGACACTGGTGTGGGTACAACATACATGTCAGAGTGAGTTGAAGAGCTGCAATGGAAAGTAAGATTGAGTTGGTGCTAGGGACTGAAGTGTGCTGTTAAGGGCTCGATCATACCTGGCTTACATACCTTCAGATGTCTAGGCATGTGTCTGTTAACTGGAGAGAGCTTGGAATTATAGCTGAAGTGGAGGCTGTAAATTGACTGGAAGGAACTTGAGTGCTCATTTAGCTCAACTTTCTCTCTTGTGCTATACTCTCTGATGATCCTAGTGGCGAATGTAGAAGCATGACATGAGTTGCCTGGATATACAGGGAATGTTGCCTTGAACGGCACAGATCCCTAACCTTGCAGTATAATGTGAAAGGTCTGAATGATGGTAATAATGGGCCAGATAAAACATTAGTCATCCAACTGAGCCCCTCACACCCTCCTGAGAGAGAACAAAGAACAACTCCATGTCATCCAGCTCCAGGTTTCCAGGATGTATCTCTCATAATTTTTACTCAACAACTTTGTGTTGTACATCTGCAATAAGTGACGGTAATGATGCACTTAACATTCTTTAATAGTTATTGAGGGCCCCCCCCCGTTTTTTTTTTTTTTTTTTCAGAACTGGGGATGGAACTCAGGAGCTTGGGCTTGCCAGGCAGGCGTTGGTGCCACTGAGCTAAACCTCCAGCCAAGCCCCTATTTTGAACTAGGCATGAAAAGTCAAGAAAGAATGACACAATTATGTCAGGATAGAGGAGTAAAATTTGAGAGAGCACAGAAGGAGGAGATATTGATTGCTATGGGAGTTCTCAATATCCAGCTGCACTCAGGAGTCTTTCTTGCAAGAGGCCACTTCAGAGATTTGGATTTCATGTGTCCATGATTGTGATGACAAGGTGCAATCAGGGATGAAACCTTCTAGCTCATTCAGGGCTTCTTAGACGTTCGTGTGCTCCTGAGTCACCTGGGAACCCTGGATAATGCAAATTTTGGCTCACTAGATCCAAATGACTCCTGAGATACTGCATTTCCAGTTAGTACTGAAGAGATGCTAATGGTGCTGCTCCCTGGACCATGCTCTCAGGAGCAAGAGCCATGATGAAACCACCTGCAGGCACCTGATGCTCTTCTGCCTGAACATCACTGACATGAGAGCCTGTCCCACCTGAAGGTTTCAGTGGTGGCCCACTGCTGTGCTTTTGATTTAGGGAAGTTAGAGTGGCACAGATGACCATGAGATGCCTGTGAAACTAAGTGATTGAGAAAACTAGTAATTTCACCCCACATACTTGTACTTTGGAAAACATACACTTTCATTCCATAAACTCTTTTGTGATATTTTACTCTAACACAGATAAGAAAAGGAAGAAAACAAGCAAACAAAAAAAAATGGACTCCAAATCTCCCCACTCAGGTAATCCTGCTGACATTTTAAAATACATGTATGTATTTGGGATTATAGCATCCTAACCATACCTAGAGGGAAGAATAAAATCTGAATGACTCATTCATGCCTCATAGTCTTCTACCAAGAGTAACCAGAAGACATAGTTTCTTATGATTTCCTCTAAGAAAAAAAGCAATGTCCATACATAAAAACTCATTTATATATTTTTTAAAGTTGCACAATGATCATGTTCCTTATACTGTTCTGTATCTTGTTTTCTAATAAAATCTTGAGATCATTCTTGTTTTAGCATATATCTCATTCTTTTAAATGAGCTCTATTTCTCTCTTTCTTTCAAAATTCCACATAGTATTTTATTGGTGTAGCTTTAAAACCAACCTTTATTTACTAGCCCTCCCACTGATAGCCAGTTTGATTGTGTTCTGGTTTTTATTATACCCAAAATATTTCAGTGGACATTGTTATCCATGAATATTTGTGACTATTAAGGCATATTCAAGTGTTAAATTCCTGGCAAGGATGTTTTCAGGACAAAAAGGATTCACATGTTTAGGAATTTAATTTATTTTTTAAATTTTATTTTATTTTTAAAATTTTAAAATTTTATTTGTACATGTTTGCAGTTCACGTAGTTCACAGTCATCTTGGGGAATGGTCACATGTACATATTACTGCATGTTTCTTTTTTTTTTTAAATCTCCTCCCCTTCCCCTCCCTCCTTCTTCCTCCAGTTCCCCTATCCCATTTTTCATTCTTGTTGATATTGTCTTAGCTCATGTGACGGCATATAATGTTTCCATTATTTGGAGTTATTAGGGTCCTGTACATGACATATCTTTATTCTTCTTATTTCCCCTTCCCTTCCTCCTCACCCCTCACCCCTCACCCCTATTCCCTTGGACCCCTTTCCCATTGCAAGAGATTCATCCCCTTGTTCCCTTCTATCCACTCTTTATCATTTTCTTTGTTTGTACTTTGCCTCATTCAAATGAGAAATACCATAAAGCTTGTGTGTCTGGTTTATTTCACTCAACATTATGTTTTCCAGGTGGATCCATTTTCCTACAGGAGTTTAATTTATATTTCCCACATAGTCCCTAGAAAAATTACATTAGCTCTACAGTTGAGCTTTACTCTGTGTGTGTGTGTGTGTGTGTGTGTGTATGTGTGTATGTGTGTCCCTGAGAGTCAAACAGAGGGCTTCATGTATGCTAGGCAAGCACTGTACCACACCCCAACCATATTGAGCCTTACCTTCTGCATGTGACTCATGGGGTCCAGCAAGAACAGAGGAATATTAAAGTAAAAAACACTGGAGTACAAACAGTGTATCTTCTCCCAGTTCTCTCAAGCATGATTGTTACCGATCTCCCATCCCGGGGCAGTTTCACTGAGGTGCTTCACACCTACACTTTGAACACTAAATACCATTATATTTTATGTGGCTGTGTCTTACTCTGATTTTTTACTATCCAATGTAGAAAGAATAGTCTTTCAACAAGCAGTGCTGAGACAATTGAATATCCACATGAAAAAATATGAAGTCAGATTCTTATCTAACACCATATACAAATATTAACTCAAACTGAATTGAAGGTCTAAATATAAAGACTAAAACTATAATACTTGAGAAGACAATATAGGGGTAAATCTTCATGACTCGGATTTGCTAAAGGATTCTTAGATACAATACCCAAAGAATAAGCAACAAAAGAAAAAAAATCAATACATTAGATTTCATCAAGACAAAAAAACTGTCTTTCAGATAGCAATATCAAGAAAATTAAAAGACAACTCACCGAATAGGAGAAATATTTGCAAATCATACATCTGATAAAGGAGTTGTATCTAAAATATATAATGAACTCTTACAACTCAATGATAAAGAGACAACCCAATTAAACAATGGGAAAATCACTGGATAAACATTTTTCCAAATGCCCCATAAACACATGAAAAGATGCTTGACATCATTAGTCATCAAGGAAATAAAAATAAAAACCACAGTGAGAGAATACTTCACACCCAATGGGCTAGTTAGAATCTAAAACTGATAGTAACACACTTTGGTGAGGATGTGAAGGGATTGGAGCCCTTGTACATTACTGATGAGAATGAAAACGGTGGGTCTACTTTGCAAAACATTCTGGCAGTTCCTCAAAAATTTAAACAGCTACCATATGATACAGCAAGTCCTGTCCTCTACATAAGCTTAAGAGAAGGGAACATATAATATCTACACAGAAACTTGTACAGAGATATTATAGCAACACCATTCATAATAACCTAGAGGTGGAGACAGTCCAAATGTACATCAACTGATGAATAAACAAAATGTGTTATATCCATACATTTGAATATTATTTGTATGTAAAAAAGAAATGCTTCACTGCTACATGCTACAACACAGTGATGCTAAGTGTGATGCGAAGTGCAAAAAGCTAGTTACAAAAGATTGCTTACATATGATTCCAATCATAGGAAAGTCCAGAACAGGAAAGTCCAGAGACTGAAAGTAGATTGGTGGTCATTTAAAGCTGGGAGACTGGGACAGGAGTGTAGTATCTTAAAGAGGATGATGTTTCCTTTTGAGGTGTTGACAGTGTTCTAAAATTGACTGTAGGGACAGTTACATATCTTTGTACAAAGGTGAATAGCCTAAAAAACAATTAACTTTATACTCACCACTACTTATGGTGAGAATTTATCTCTGCAAAGGTGTTACGACAGCTGCTGGTTTCAGCTGTTCCTAATTTTCTCATTAACTGTTCTACCGGTTTAAAACAAACATACCTTTTATTTCTGTGGTTTGGGTTTTTTTTTAAAGATAAAATTCTTAGTCCTTCTGAGTAGTACAAAGCAAATCAGGATATTGGAAATGAACAGTTAACATATTTCTTCACTAACAGAATCTTGAGTTTTCCCAAAAGATTGTTTTGATGACATTTATTTTCCGTCCTTGAGCACTTCTGAGAAATATTTCAATCTTAGGAATTTATAGAAATGGAATTTTGATTAGAAGTGACCTTTTAGCAGCTGCACTTGGCTCTGCTTCCCACTCTGGGAGGGTGTCCTCCACAAAATGGGAAATGCCCTGGGGGAAATAGCTGCTGAGATGTCAGCCTGCTGCTGCTGGTTCCCATTTCTCTTCTCTCCAGATCTTGTGTCCTTTGGAATCTTAGTATCTTTGAACTCCAATTACTTCTCCCTAACTCTTTAGGTGCATGGTATTCTGCTGAGCTTTTCTGGATTCAGCATATTTTTACCTGACAAAATTTCAGCCTCTTGGTCTGTGGTATACTAACATATTATGCTCTTTCTTTTTACCAACTTTTACATGTATCACATTTTTACACTTCCCACGGAGTCTACAGAAGGTACTCATGAATGTTGCTTACTCATTTTGATGTTCAAGCTTCTCAACTGGATAGAACACATGAATGATGTTAGTGAGTGTGTGTGTGTGTGTATGGTGTGTATATGCCAAACATGAACATGTGGTGTGAACTCAGTCTCTATTAGTTGGGAAAAAATGTCTATTTGTTTTGTTGTCCATGATATGGGAAGAGGCACTTCTT